ACGCCACATATATCTGCGGACAGCGCTGTGACGTGGCGAGTGTGGCCCGCCACTAAATATGGTCATGCCCCTTGTCGGGATCCATTGCTCGACAAGGTTTTCCAGAAGAGGTGAATGAACCGACGACTGGCCACCGGCTCAGCTGGAACATCACTGCTGCCTTGCAGTCCGCGCTTGGTTGCGCAAAGGCTAGAGTGCATCCTCGAACAAGGCCTACTCTGGACCGGGCGACCGAGTAGTACAATAGCCCGCAACGCACACAACCATGAACCATGAATCTTACTCTCACGACTAGTCTCAATGCACCATTGAATTCAGCCGTGTGACCTAATCACATCTGGTGGTAGTCACCATCCTTTTCAGCGAAGACTACATAGCGTACTAGTTGAAAAACTGGCAGTTTGGACACTGTTATAGAGCCGGTAAGAAAGACCATACCATGTGTGTCAGATCGGTATCATATGAACGTGATGTGAATGTTGCACACGTTCTAGCCTCGCCAGCGAGCAAATCCAGCTCTACCGATTTGTCGTACTTTCTAACGTCATGAGTTGTTTCAGTATATATGATGATCGACACAAGAACTACGACCGAACCGGAGACAAGTTGATAATAATGTCATCATCCGAAATCTCTGCCTGTCAGTCCCGCTGGGGGAATCAAAAAGTAACAAGTCATTCAAGTGTAGGCTTATTCAGATAGTTCTGAACCATTGGTAATAATTACTATCCAGGCGTCTATGATACAAGTAATACAGCAACAGACCTGTTACATATGACGAATTCCGCAAGGCATGTTTGTTCACTTTCAATCACACAATATGAAACACATGGGAACTGAGCCGGGGAAAATTTCTAGTTATGTTGCATCACCGCGGCAGCAGACATGTGGAAATAGCTGAGTTCAAAATTACTCTCAACCAATGGATATGAACTTTAAGGTCCATGCTCAATTCTCTTTAAGAACAAAGACCGAGATCAATGAGATCTCCATACCAGTGTTGATGATACCGTAGTGGTTTTTGGATGTCACAGTGGACCTATGAAGTTTGTTTTTAAGTGCGAAATTTCCTCCGCCTATACGGACGCGGAGAACCGAGTACACAACTCTGCATCAACTCTATCCAAAAGTACACCAACCTAATCATTGATAGTCTCTCTGTCTCCGTGTGTTGTTCACCCCCCCCCACACACATTCTGCCAACCGATTCAACGTTTGCTTCCCGCCGTCCAATCGGTAGGGTCATAGACGTTGAGGACGAGAGCAATAGTGCGCATTGGAAAGGACTACTCGATGGTCTGAGTAGCGGCGGCTCAAGTTCACTACCGTTTGGTTTACCGAATCGATGCCACATCAACCGCCACTCATGTTGTGCAAATTTGTCATGATTAGTACCAGGATTAGAAACTCAGATACACATCGAATTCCGCACTGCATTAACCTAAACACAACACTTAATGACGGAGTCGTATTACAATGTGTGAAAAGCGGGAATTCCCAAGAATATCGTGTTCGAAAAACACTCGAGTCCACAGTCTATGTGCAGTCATAAGACCCTAAGTAGTTTAACTAGGTGGTCTTTTATTCAGTTAGACACCCATATTTTGGATGAACAATCCTTCTGACCAGCTGTATACTTTGTCACAAACTTCTTGTTCTTATCTGATTTTACATGAGTTATTGAATCCTGGATACAAACTACAATGCCGCTTCAAGGTTGACTTTTACTTGCATCTTTGCAAACCTGTGACATGTTTGGTGTTCGTGGTTTACATTGTTGGTACGTAGAACGACACGGAGTTGGATTTCTAGAATAAAGAATTGAATTAATTTCAAGGGGCTAATTATTAAACTACACAGACGTCCCTGATGATGGTCACCCAGACACAGACAAACCCTTATTAGTATGTCTGTCGGTTCGCCCCCCACAGCCTTGTGCGCGTATCTCAATCTACAGGGTTGGAACTTGTCGTACTTTATAGGCAACCGGGGTCCAAGATATACACCTTATCAAGCATTCGAAACTGGTAAGAAATGATGATAAGAACGCAAATTCTGTCGGTCATGTCATGCAATTCAATATCTGTAAACCAATCAGTTACGAAATATTTTGGACCCCATCCTCGAGGACTAAAGATACCTGTACACAACTTTAGACACTCCAAATCAGTTCGGATGGTAGATATTCCGGTTTCCATTTGATCATCGCGGTGGTCCTAAATCGGGATAGGGTTGTGGGTCGGGACTTAGTTACCGACTCATTTCTCTCACACCTGTTCTGTTGAAAGTATTTGAAACCATCATCATCGACCAACTACGTAGGTTTCTTGAACGTGGACTAGAGTGACCGCCAGTACGGCAGGGTCGTTCCACCAGTGACCTGCTGGCTCTTGTCTCACAATCCTGGTCGGCTGCACTCAATAACCACATGGTTCCGCTTGATATCGTTAAGGCCTTCGATCGAGTTTGGCACGGTCTAATGGCTAAACCGTCCGTATTTGGGTCCCCTCTCGTATCGTAGATATCAAGCTCCCTCAGTAAGCGAACCCGCTCTGTCCCAGTTGATGGGGTTGTACTTCAGCCGTTCGCGTTCCCCAAGGTTCAGTATTCGCGTCCACTCTCTTTCTTCTATTCATGAATGATCTTATTTCCAAAACTGTCAACCAAATCCATTTCTGGCCGACGACGTCACTCTGCGCTGCCCCTCTTCAACCGCACTACTCGCTGGAATCAAGCCAACATCTATCGTGACCTCAGTGCAGGGAATGTCACTGGGTCCGACATTTAGTATGCAACTCAAGCGTGGAATCCATGGCTGCAACGCGATCTCCAGATTCTGGAACGTCCACAAAGAATGGCCACCAAAATGTTCAAGGGTTTGCATTCCAAGAGTTATGTGGAAAGCCTGAAATCATTGGGATTTTACTCCAGACAACGTAGGCGAATTCGAGGGGACATGATTTCGGTGCTTTAAATAATCCTGATCCCATATGTCGTTTACTGTTCACTTTGTCGCCCAGCACACACCTCAAGGGGCACTAATTCAAATTAGTGCTACAAAAATGTCGACTAGAATGCCGGCGTCATTCCTTTGACCCCAGAATGTGCAGTATTTGGAATTCTCTATCAACTCAGGTTGTTTCTGCGCCCACGATTGATTCTTTCTAGCACAAACTGGATGAAACTTTGACAAGTTTCAAATTTCGACATCCGTAGCAATGCACAAAACAAAGATAAGTTGTGAAATTCCTCATCATTCTATGAACCGTAAGTCGATCCATTTATGCTAAACCCTATGGAAAAAGGAAAGCAGCCAATGGTATCTCCCATAATAAAACTTTGACCTTAACCTCAAATACGTCTCCCCCTGGGGAAATGGTACACACTTTTCAAAAGAGCCAGCAGTGTTGTTCAAGCTGTCTGCCACGTACTATGCNGCACGAATCTCGGAGCACATTCCAAAACGGCTGCTAGCAAACGAAACTGGAAGCGCTCAAAGCTCTATCAGCAAACACATTTTTTACTCAAGGCTTGCTAAACCTCCCTTCGGTCATTTCCACTAAACACCAATTATTCTCCTCCACTTATCACTTGATTACACCCAATTACGTTCCCTTTCTAGGAAT